TACTTTTCTGCGATTTAGTACAATAATTAAATTTAGCTGGTATCACGTCTATACTTTTAAGCCTCCTGCCATTGTTTACATCTGTTCAAAATCACGCATTTAAAAAAAACCAAAAAACTTTGCCACTGTTTTGAGTGTTGTACGGAGAGACCACGTGTTCGTGTGTGTGACACTCGCGCCTTCTCTTTCCTTATGTGCACACATCCTCGTACCTCACCGCTCCAAACCATAGCTCCAAACTTAATCCGGGAAAGGTGAACATTCCTGCATCATAACTTGGACTGAAAGATGAATGTGTAGAAAGCGAGCATGTCTCCAAAAACCTTGTTGAGCTGCAGGTTTATGCATGCATTTTTTTATAAATTTTTTTATTTTATTTTTTACAGAAATGATGTTTTGATTAGATTTTTTATTATTGAGCTGCAGGTTTAGGCTCACTTAAGTGACTGCATTTAATTAAGAAGAATTTAATTATTTATTCTAATTATTTAGCCTGACATGTTTACTGTTCCAAAATGTTCTATATGTTTCTTAAAAATAAAATGTGTTCAGTGGGGAAAAAAGTAGATTTTTTACCCAGACATTTAAAAATAACATATTTTGGAGCTGTAATCGCAATACCGTGATATTTTTATCTAAAGTTATCACACCGTCAGAATCTCATACCCGGCCCATGCCTACAGCTGAGTAAAACTGTTTCATTTGAGCATGTGGCACTTTAAGCATTATCGTATCACATATCGCACTATTTAATGAGTTATCGCATATCGCATTTTTCTTTAATATCGCACAGACCTAACTACTGATCATTGAGATTTAAATTACATTTTGAGCAAAAACACACTAAAAACAGACGAGGGTTACATCATTCCCTTTGACAACAGCTGCACCGTTCAAACTGTCAGATGACAAGATGGGCTGTTCAACAAACACTCATTCACTCAGTCTGACAGAACACAAAGAACGGTTATACAAATACCAACACTATGCTCTTTATGTCCTGCCATGCACATCCAAGGAGAGCCAGCAGTCAGGGAGAGTCAGTGCTCAGTGGGTCAGTGGGGTCCTGTTACCGCTCACTGTTTGCCTCACTCTCTTTCTCTTTTTGCTGCAGTAGCAACCCGTTATTGGGACAGGAAGTCTCTAGGGCAGATGCTTGGGGAGGAACGTGCCTGCACTGTCCAACTATTCAGGCCTCAACAGAAGGCACAACTGCGGTTTTACATACTCTCACATACTAACACATAATAGCGATGTGCAAAAATACATATTTTCAAAATCAACTAGTTGGTGAGTTGCCTGAACGACTAATTGGTCTTAAGGAAGTCATACATAATAGGTTGGTTTCGAGTTCGACTGACCTTTTTCCATGCAAACTGTGTCAGAGCTAAATAACAGCATGCTAATTAAAGCAAAAGCACTGCTGCTAAAAATATCAAAACTTGAAAGAACTAGTCACCCTCATATTGACTAATTGGTTGACCCAACCCCATCCACAATGCAGTTCTTGTACAGGATTAGTGGGGATACCTAGGCTGTGTAAACTTGGGCTATTTCAAGAGGCAGAGCGATGATGATGACGTGTGGACAGTAGGGATGGGTATCGTTAAGGTTTTAACGGTATTACTACTCTTACCGAACAGCAGGTCATTCTTGCTTCCTGGAGGCTAATGATAGAGTTATCATCAGCGCTGGACCTTTAAGCAATCACATTTGCAACCTAGGTAGCTCACCTGGTACATCACTGCACTTGCAATGCAGAGCCCTTTGGGTATGGGTCCTGTGAAACACGAGTCACAATTAAAAATTCTATGACTTGTAGAATTAAGCTAAAATGGCATGTTTGCTAAAGCAAATGCATTTTTATCTCATGCTTGCTTTTAAGTCTGCATTAACCTTTAAGCACCACTTCTCAGACGTTTCATTTCTGGACTGCCACAATACATCCAATAACAAACCTTATAAAACAACACCAAATTCACATTAATCTATTTGGGGTAAAACTGAATGCACTTTTAGCCCCACTGACTGGACAGTTCACTTTGAAAGTGTTGTGAAATGTGCAAGAAGCAACGTAAATATAATTTTGCAGAAATGTAATACAGGTTTTTCCAATGATCCTGGGTTGCACATTTGACTGCTGCTGCACTTAAACAAATGTCTGTACTAGAAAAGCAAAAAAGCTTAGCAGGTCAATGTACAACACCTGTAGGTAACATTTAAGCCAATTTGCTTCACAAATTTGTATCATATAATGGTGTCTATAAAAACTACTGCCTTTAAAATAACTACTCAGAGAGGAGATGCGCTGACTATTTAACAAGGAGAACTACAGCCCTTTTCTGACAGCCAAGAATAATGAGTACACCTGATAAACAAAGGTGCTACCCATTTAATATTGACTTATAACCAGCCTGGTGCATTATGATAACAAAACAGCTCAATATCACATGACTCTAACAGGCCATGTTATTTTTCATGCTCTTCAATAATAGCTTTAAAGGGGTCATATGATGTTGCTAAAAAGAACATTATTTTGTGTATTTGGTGTAATGAAATGTGTTTATGTGGTTTAAGATTCAAAAAACACATTATTGTCCACATACTGTACATTATTGTTTCTCCTCTATGCCCCGCCTTTCTGAAATGCGTCGATTTTTACAAAGCTCATCGGTCTGAAAAGCGAGGTGTGCTCTGATTGGCCAGCTATCCAGTGCGTTGTGACTGGCCAAATACCTCAAAGCGTGTGACGGAAATGTTACGCCTTTTACCATACTGTGATGCCCTGTCCCGGCGCGGATGAGACAAAACCAATAAAACCCATTATAAACGAGGCATTTGTAGCATCCGGAACAAATTCCTTACCAAAAAAAACCCAAAAAACTAAATAGACCTCAAAAGAAATGGTATTCAAGCATTCATTCTTGCAGACATAACCAAATATGTGCAGTTTCCTGACCACTGGACTCCACCCTATATTATGTTTGCAGTCAGGCCAGGGTTAACACCGGCAGGATGCAGGTCTTGATGAGAACCCACTTTGAGGTTTCTAACCACACCGTGACCCGTTTCTAGTAATCTAATGAATTCAGTTCAAGCTCTACAACAACGAACCTTCCAGAAAAGTAGCTAAAATGACAAATAAAAAAGCATAAGTCTTTCAATGATGTTATGTTTCTTACACAAGAACTTTTACCACTCCATGAGATTAACCACAGGCTACACTGAAAACTAAAGCTACTAGTCTATTAGTGGCATAGGCTAAACACAAGGCATCAAAAGTGCAAATCATTCCTCATTAGCAAGTCAGAAGAACATTAGCAAGCATGTTTTCCTTAGAGGGAGGAACAAGTAAACAGAATTTGATGGTTTGCTGCACAAAGCAACTGCAATGATGCTGATAGTGAAAAAATTATATTCAGTTTATATTCTTACTTATATTGAGTTTATATTCATCCTCAAAGATCAAGATGGCCAGCAACATCCGCAAGACAGCTCACACACTCAACATGATAAAAAGAGAAAAATACTGCTAAACATCCACAGATCAGTAAGCACTACTTTAGTGATGCCTGTGTGTAACGTAGTATGAACTGCACACGGCGAAAGCTTCCCTTATAAAAGTCAACTCAATACAAAATATTTACCTCCATCAAACATGAATTTCTCCTACTGGTTCTGTAATTTACACGTGAACTATTTCGACATCAATTTCAGTGTCTCTTTTTGCCATTTAGATAGGAAGTGTACTAAGAAACCAACTTATGAGACCGCAGAGGGTTTATACATATTTAAAAGCATTATATTAAGTGAATATTTAGTATAATAGGGAAACAATAACGATAAACGCAAGGATATAGGCTCTGTACAGATAAGAGCGCCATACAAAGCTGAGATGATGTGTCCCTGTCAAACCAGACATCACTTATCAAACCTCCCTACAGACCCGGCAAACACAACTCTAAAAACCCTTCAGCCTGCGTCAATTCATCCTATCTAAACATTAAACTGTACAAGAACATCACAGTGAACCAACACAGACTTCTTGTCTGGTGCTGCAGTAAGTTTAGCAGTTAGCTGGCCGTTATCCGTCCATCGAAGCCCGCTAACTCTCCCCCTCAGACCGCCTCAATTAAAGTAACGGATTCAAGCCCTCAGTCGTCCAAACAACCTCCAAACAAAGCCATAGTACTAAAGATATGTCTTCTGACAGGTTTAAGCAACGAGAACTCGTCGAAAGAGGTTGTAAATAGGTGCATTCTTACCCATTTGCGCCCGCAACCCTTTCAGAGACGTTGCACCCTCCGCCATTTTTGCCGAAGTTTTTTTTCCGGCTCTTTGGCGCTGACACATTAGAGGCGCGCGGGGACGCCGACTGCTCAACCCGCCGCGGTCTACAGACGGCGACAGCGACATCTAGCGTTTGACTGCACGCACTGCAGGACACAGCGAGAGTGGTCGTTACTCGGTGGTTTTCAAACCGGTGTCCGTGACCGCAAAAGGGTGCTATGTGGTCTGTGGAAAACTTGAGAAAAAGTAAAAAAAAAAATTTAAAAAATCCGTTTATATAAAGATATACGGTAAAAACCATAGATAATGTTTTAGAAATTTGCTTTGACTTCAGACAATATAAAAGCCATTTAATTGATTTTGGAAATAGCATGTTGTCTTCTTTTTACTTTTATTTTTAAATAACCTTTTTCTCACATTTAAAAAAGGTGATTTAAACATGAAAATATATAACTCTTTATATTTTATGAATGATTATAATATTTGAGGGGTCCTTGGCATCAAACAGTTTGAGAATCCTTATTATAAACTCTCCACTGTCATAATCCTTTATGAGGGGGTGCTTTGGGGGCTCAAACCCCTCGCCTTTTTCCAAAATTAACCAGAAGTGGCCCTCTCTCAACAGTTATCAACAATAATATTGTGGTCAATATTGTGTGTAGCCTACAAAACAGTAACGAATGGCTCGGAATAGGCCTACCTGTTTATTTTTACTTAGCCTACATCTTTCAGTTTGAGACATCGTTGCCATTATATTGCTATAGATTGTGTGCGTCTTAAACAAGCTCAAATTTCATTGGACTTTGTAAATGGGAGTAAATCGGTTTAAATATATACTGTCCATTTTCAGGCGTATTACAGATACAGACTCTATAAAAACAGGTGTATTATTATTTTCTTTTTTTTACAAGCCTGAAATTGCAAAAGTAGAAGAAGTGGCATTAATTCTAAGTAGTGTTTAATTTACTCCTATCTATGTACTGCATATTGATATAGGCTACAGTTTACCGTTTGATTAAACTTGTTGGTTAAATGAAGCCCAAGTGCCACCAACAGGCTTATTATGTGAAGTGTAAGCAGTTCAAGTTCAAGGACAGAGTTACATAAATAGATATTTGGAAATATTATTTTTATTGTTATTTTTTAAGTTATGAAGAAGAAGAAGTTTTATTTATATAGTGCCTTTCCATAGGTCAAGGTCGCTTTACATAGTGCTAAACAATTCATTTGCACACCCATATACACAATACAAACACATAAGGCCACATATAGCCACATTATCCAAAATACATATTAAAAAGATACGTTTTTAGCTGAGTCTTGAATGTAGACAAAGATGGTATATTACGAAGTGTAAGGGGTAGCGAATTCCATAATTTCGGAGCATTAACACTAAATGACCTACCACCTACAGTGGACAGCCGAAAACGAGGAATGGACAAAAGACCAAGCTCAGATGATCTGAGAGACCGGGCAGGAGAATAGGAGTACAGTAGGTCAGACAGATATGGAGGCGCAAGACCATTAATGCCTTAAACGTTAGAAGTAATATCTTAAAGTGAATACGTGATGCCACAGGTAGCCAGTGAAGATCATGCAGTAGAGGAGTAATGTGAGCAGAACGCCTGGTGGAGGTGAGAACTCTTGCTGCTGAGTTTTGAACATACTGTAACCTTGCAATATGTTTTTTAGGCAGACCAAGAAATAGAGCATTGCAATAATCCAGACGTGATGTGATTAATGCATGAATTAAGATTTCAGCATCAGCTAGAGTTAGAGAAGATCGAAGACGTGCAATATTACGAAGATGGAAAAAAGAGGTTTTAACAACAGATCAAGAAGAATCAAGAGGTTTATTAACCCAGAATCCATGGACAGATTGAACTATTTATGCTTTTAATGCCAAAGAAAAAAATGTAAACAAGAAGTTTGGTGCACAGGCTTGGCATATTTTCCTTTTACCACTATACTGGAGCTTTGACAATATGTTGAATGAGAAACTGACAGGATCAGCTAAGCTGTGGTCAACCCCTCCCTTTAAGAAAACACCATATTCCCTTTGGCAGTACTACTTCTCAGGCATCTCGGACTGCTTCCTTTCATTTAGCCATAGTTTGCAGGCCCCTCATTCATTTTTTTGCAGCAGGCTGAGCAAGTATCAGTTACATGTATTAAATAGTGCACCAGCACTTACTGTAAGTCAATAATGAATGTGCCTGTGAGGGAATGTCAGGGCTTCAGATATACAGAGTATATGATGCTCTAGTCCATACTTCCCACAGACATACAACAGATATGACAATCTATAACAATAACTGCTTTGACTAATTCATTGACCAGTGTAGGGCAGAACAAAACTGGTTTTACAAACTTGTGTGACCTGAACTAGTTACAACTGATACACCTGAAGATATGCATATAGCATTATGCAAAATGTAGTATTTATTTGTATTAATATTTATTTTCACAGTGATTGTGCTTTGACCACTATTGTCAAAATTGTCATGCAAGCAGCACTGAATTTGTATTATTTTAATTGAACACTGATGATATCTAAATTTAAAATAAAATAAAATATAAACTGATATCTGTCACAACCTTGATAGTTGTGACAGATATCAGTTAAAACTTTTTTGATCCACTTCAAGTGTTGACTACTGTAGATTAAAATACGTACAGAACTTAAGATAAATAGAAATATATCTCTATATCTAAAGAAAAAAGTGCTGTCGTGCTGACAGAAGAAACTTCGTTGTAATTATTTATATCTATATTCCTCCTTTATGGTTTCATAGCTTTGTTCCTACTGTCAGTGTCAAACATTTATAATATAAAATGCTTGAAAAAAAAATCTGAAAAACATGGGAAAATTGAACCAATATTTTTTATGTACGTATGTATCAGAAGTCAGAAAGAGCTTTATTGCCAAGTATGTTTGCACATACAAGGAATTTGTTTTGGTGACAGAAGCTTCCAGTGCACAGAGACAACAACAACGCACAGCTAATAAAAAATTAAGATATGTGAATAAAATACACATGTATATATATAAATAAACATAAATAGACAAAAATTGTATGTAAGGGTGTGCTATAGATGGAATAAGATGTAGGGATGGACTAAGATGGCTGGTATCAAGCAAACAGAAACCTCTCCTGCCTCGTTCTTTTCAGAAACTGAGAAACAAAATAATTACAACACTGTTAATGATGAAAGTGGCATTAACAACATACAGTTTCACGTTATTTAACAAAATATAATTTTATATGCTGACCCTGGAGAGTACCCCGACACGTAATTGTAGGCCTATTTAAATGCTTACAACTAAACACTATCATAACTATTTAAGCTTACGTTAGCTATCTATCGATGCTCTCTCATAAATGAGAGATAATCATTATGGTATTCTTGATAATCGATAACTTACCTTTATAGCCAGGAAAATAAGTATGTACATACGGTTGCCAACTTTGGTTGCCTGGCTGGAGTGTGATTAGTTATAGTTGTGCAGTAAATTTCACTTTAAAGATTCACTTTTCATTCATGAAGATGACATGAAAAATGTGACAAAAATGTGTCTCCTGGCAGAAAACAAAGACTTTTTAAGATGAAAATGACATGAATTTAGCATTATAACCAGTAGATGGCAGCAGAGGACCACTCATTAGCTCAGTTGCCGTTTCTATTCCGTAGCTTTTTCACGTCTTGCTTTTGAATTTATTATAAAATGACTATTGTAACACATTTTAGTAATTTTACTGTATTGAAGTATAAAGTATAGCAAGTGCAGGAAGTCACAAAGTCTCATGCCATTTAAAGGTCCCATATGGTCAAAACTGAAATTTCCTGGCTTTTTTCACATAACTGAGGTCTAGGGGCTATTTAACTACCAGTTTCAAAACAGTCAGTCCACAGTAAAATGCACACAGCCTGCATAAAGTAGCTGTGATTTTTCACGAACCATTGTGACTTCCGTAAAAAGTTGACGTCAGAACTACACAGTCACCGCCTTCAGTCACCACCCTGAGCACCGCCCACCGTCCCACACTCCTTTTGCCAAACCCCCAGACAACATCATTTTTGAGCAACAACAAGGAAACTTGTGAAAAGGTTAACTTTAACCACAAAACCAGATCGGCCGACCTGTAACGTTACACTCTCACTCAAAGGATGGACGATCTGACAGGATTGTTACTATGAGGTGGGTCACATCTAACATGTATAGTAAAGACAAACTCACCATGTCTATCTAACTTAGTCATTTCAATTTCAGCAGGCAACTATTTTTACAGCTACATTATTGTTCCAGCCACAATTAATCACAACAATGTATATACAATTACAAATGATTATATATAAATCGTCAGTTTGTTGTTTCACACACATGCACACAGACGTTATTTCATACACAACATAGTCGTGAGATGCAAGAAACAGACATATGGCAAGAAATCTGTAGACGCACCCATAACAACAAAAGACAATACTTCATTGAACCTTTTCTGATAAATAAAACTCCAGAAAGTTGTAAAATATGTGACCTTTAAAAAATAAAATAAATAATTAAGTCCAGACACCAACGGCCTAGAATGGTTGATTATTTAAATACTAAAATAGTTAACTACAAATCAAATAAGTTAATTATTAATGGTATAACAATTAAATAATAATGCATTAAATATTTTGAAATATTTTTAGATTTAATTTAAAAACTAAATATTTTAAGTTTTATCTTTAACTGTAGAAGCTGCTAAATACACTCAGCCAATACTTGCTGCTGTAGTTTTGTTACTCTGAAGTTAGTCTGAATCACTTAATGCACAGGTTTATGTCATTTAATATCTGTCACAATGGCAGACACACATTTTATTTTGAAACTAATAAAAAAAAAGATAAATATAGAATATATAATATTCTCAAACTATGCATCCAAATGAAAAAATGCAAATATCTGTCCAAATGAGAATTATGTAATCAGCTCAGAGTGAGAGCTTTGGGTTGCCACTATAAAATCTAATTAAATTTGTTTAGTGAGAGCTATCTGGAAGAACCAAATCTGATCTGAACGCCTGAGGAGGAACATTACCTGAACTGTTTGCTTAAGATCTGAAACAACTTCCTGTTAA